TTAGGGTGGGACATACTCTAGATGATTGATAACCCTTAAAAATAATAACCTCTGACCTACTTTCATTGACCTCCAAGTGTAAAGTCATTCACCATGTGTTAACAAGCGGCTAGGTTTGGCATATATTTGGAGGAGACAACTTGGGAGAATCTTTCTGTATCCCACAGAAGGGCAGCTCAATTCTTCAGTTACACCGGGACTATAGAGATGGGAAGCCTCACGATTGATCGAGACACACACATTACTGCAGATTAGAAAAACAAGATTGGTTCGGGGGCCCTCTGACCATGGCAGTCATTGACTATGTGACCCTCACTTGCTGCCACTGATTCAATTCTGACTCATAGCGACCCTAAAGGCAGGGCCCCTGTGGATGGGAGTAGAAAGCTCTACCTTTCTTCTGTGGAGTAGCTTCTGGTTTCAAACTGCTGACTTTCTGGTTAGCAGCACAAGAAGTAACTCACTATGCCACCACCACCACTAGTACCCCAATTGCCATCAAGGGACACCTACCAAGTCTCTGAGGGTAAGTAAAGCTGACCTTCCCTCGGGTGGCTAGTGGAGTGGAAGCGATATGCTTTCAAACACACTTTGCCTGAGGGCCAAAGTTTTTCACAGTGCTCGTCAATAGTCAGGAAGAGCTCAATGGAGGCTGAATCTGTGCGGAGACTCAAAAATGGACTCGGGGCTCTCACTGTAAAAGGATATCCTGTTTGGTAAAGCAGGGGGTCAGTGAACAGGAGTAAGACCCTCAATGACATGAAATGACACCGTGGCTACCCACGGGCTCAAATACAAATATGATGAGGATGGCACAGGACTGGACTGGACTGGAGGGTCTGTAACCCTAGTGCTCAGAAGTCAATCTTGTGAAAAGATTGTTCATATCTTTAATGGACTTTTCATACATTTATAGAATCCCATAAATTAACATGAAAGCAAACCTTTTTTTTTAAAATAAAAGAGCCTGACCAAACCAGATATGTACCCTTCAGCCTGGCCTCATGACCTAAGATATATTTAGGAGGAGTTACATTTTACTCTTTTTAGAAGATTAGTTTTTTCCTGAGAAACTGAAACAAATACAAAGGTCAGATCGTTTTACAGAATAGTAGTTTATTGAATGAGTTTTATTCAGAGAAAAATAAGCTTTCATCTATGATGACTGCTAGATTATAGAGTGGAAAGCAATTTTCTTCGTTTTCCATACTGATAGAAAGGTTTCTACTAAATTAAAAAAAGTCATAGAATCCTATTGACAATATAGTATACTCTATCTTAAAACATTCCACGTGATTATTCACAATATTACCACCACAACAGAAAAATCAGTCATTCGGCCAGGTTAGATACAGTATACCGGTACAGAGGTAAACACAAAATCTTCTAACAGAAATGACGTTAAAGTCTGTGCTACATCAAATAAAAATGCAAATTTGTTAACAATATAATACTTAGAGCGTAACTTAAAACACCCATTAATGATATATAAGAATGCAGTAAATGCCAAAACAAGTGTATGCATCTCTGAAGATGTAAGATTTCAAAACAGGCTCTTACCACCCAAACATTAATGTAGTATTGTACGATGGGAAGATATAAATATTTAAGAATGTCCTGTGGTAGTCATCATAAAGCATCATTTACTATGCAGTGAAAGTTGTAGGAATAGAACTAATTGAAATGAAAATTTTGAGACCTCCCAAGAGAGGTAGTTTAGTGAATTTTCACCTTCAATTATGTTCCACTGGTCCTGCCACTAACTAGCTACTAACTAGTTCTTAGCCTCAGTTGCTTGACCTGTAAAGTGAGGGTGATAAATTAGCTACTCTGTAAGGTCACTTCTCGCCCTGAAACTCTACCATCCTAGTACACCGCAAATGAAACTTACATTGTGCTGAGTGTATGACATTGAAACTGAAACTGATCATTACGGTAGGAACAAACCAAACAACTTTTTATCACAAAAACTCAAATAATTTGATAAGTGTACATTTCCTCCCCAATCAAAACAGAAATGTACAAATGTTCAGGGACGCTGCTTACATATATACTGTAATTTACATAAAGAGACACATGGGGGGGAAAGAAGATGACAAAGATCCCCTTAAAGAGTGATTGTGCATTTCTTCTAGCTTTTAGCTCAAGAATTATGTACAACTTCCTTCTCTAAGTTTCAGCTCAAATGTCCAGGTCAAGGCAGATCCATGGAGGCTACAAAGCACTAGGCAGGCAGAGAGCAGACACTGCCAAGCACCCAGGTGTTCTACATATATGGTTTGCTCCAACTCTCATTAACTGAAGAAATGGCTATCTTTTTTTTCCATTTTTCCTTTAAAGCAACTTTGACTAAAAGGGACTACATCTGTCAAATATTCCCTCCCATTTTCATATTTTTCTACTAGAAATTATACACAACCAATCCCATTTCTCCCATCCTTTCCACTCCCTTCACCCATTCAACGCCTGGGTATTCAGGTACAAAACAGCGGTTTGGGTCTCAAGGGTACAATCTATGCAACTAATGCCAGAGTGGTTGTCTCTGTTCAGAGTTCAAAATGCAAAATGCAAACAGGGTGAAACAATCATCCAAGCTTAAGTCATAGGACAACAAAGCAATAAAAATCAAATGTACAGGATGACCTCACATTATATACATTTACCCTCCCTAGACCCCATGTCAGCCCCTAACCAAATGAGGACAAAAACACGACCCTAGTAGTAAATGCAACACAAAGCTATTAAAGAAGTTGGGATTTACTTCATAAACACAAATAAAAGTATTTCCTAAAAATTAAGACAAGGCTTTGGATAAGCACTCTATATTATCATAATTACTCATTACTAAACAAAGAGAATCTTCACAAGACTGAAATATATTTTAAAAAGTGGTGACTGAAAACCTAGTCAACTTTATACAGAAAAAGAATGTCTACATGTAGTTACCAAGAAGTACCTTTTTTTTTCAGGGAAAGACAGTTGGGTTTGGTTATATTTTTGCCCTTGAAAATGATCAATTTCATACAATTAGATAGGAAAGATTTTAATAGTACAAAAGCAGACAAAGACTGGTCTCAAAATTCTGATTAAAAGTTAGGTGTGCTGAGTGATTGTAAGAACCCGAAGCAACAGCATTTCTAAACAATTCTTAAAATAAACTTGTTAGCCACCTCAGCTTCATGCATTTAATTTCACAACTCATGGGGGGGGGTGTCTCGCTTAACTCCAAACTTACAAGTTTTAAAAAGCAGCATTTTAATGAACTGAAGCTCACAGAACAGGAAAAGTCTTATGCTAAAATGTTCTATCTGTGGCAAGCAACTAGACTGAACTAACTACCTGACTTGGAGCAGAAGTGAAGTGTCTTGAAAAACACACTATAAAAAAAAAAAAGAAAAAAGAAAAACACACTATAAGCTTTAACATTTGTCTCCCTTGTAGAAAGCTTGGCTTTTAAAGTTAGCGCTTAGACTACATGTCAAATGTAACAGAATGAGTATATTTCCAGAACTAAACCTCAGTGGAAGACAGAGCAAAGGTAAAGAACTGAGGATTTCCACAGGAATATACAACCAGGGCAGTCATAAGCAACTTTAAAAAATTCTCATTTAAATTTGCAATGCCTTAAATGATTATAACTTAAAGTAGTAATCAACAGGTTAAGAGAACAGGACAATACTCTTTCTCTTAGAACATACAATGACAATATAATTTCCTTCTTAAATTTTTCTCTGCAGTAAAACACCTCACTTTACCTTTATAATAGGTCACTGTGAGAATCATGTAATATAAACCCTAGGTGGATGAAGCATTTTAAAATGTCCTTTTTTACCCCATATGAACTCTTACTCAAATGTTTAAAAAATATTAAAAAATAATTAAACAAATATTCTTCTTGTCAGTATTTTACACTTTCCAAGAGTTTTCAAGGATCTGGAGAGAATTTCTTTGCAAAGTGATCTACCACTACTACTAGTCAACAAAACAAAACATTTAGGGAGAGGAAAGACGACATTTTGTCTATGTATACTTCAAACAATCATCTTAATAGTAAAAATTCACATGAAACATCTAGATACAAGACAAAAAAGAGAATCTCAACATGGAAAGCTGCCACTAGAACTACAAGCAGTGTACAAACATGCGTCTACCTTTACCTACAGATGCTGACAGATGTTTAAAATACTGGGTTAACAAAGATCTTTTAGTAAAGTGACTTAGGCAGGCTTAAACTAGCAAGGATTAAGGATGAATCCTTACTAATTAATTGGAAGATCTGAGACATAGTTTATATTTCATTTTATAAAATCAGAAATATTTATTTTGAAACAAGAGAAGAAGACATGGTCTGCCTGTGAGAAAACTACCACTCAGCAATATTTTTTTTCATTCAGGCAGCAGGAGAATCGTTAAGGATATTTAAACTTCACATTGGCACCAAAAAGGTTAAGTGCCCTTGCCTTCTTGGATTAGCAAAATCTAAGCTGAGCAATAAGTAGTTTTGCAGGCGTTTGAACATGCCTAAGCCTTTAAATCAGTAAAATACTTTCTAAACATTCTGATTATAAACTTAATACACAGTTATAAAAAACTCAGAACAGGACAAAATGAAAAAAATAGAAAGTGAAAGGCCCTGGTACCCCCATCCCACCCCACCCCACTCTGGAACCCACCTCCCAACCCCTTCCAGAGAAAGGACATTTACCAGTTTGGTGCATATCTTTCCAAACCTTGTGGTCCACACATACGCAAAACACACAGACCGTTATTTGGCTCCGACTAGACATACTGCTTTGCCACGTGCACTTTACACTTTATATGTCTTTGCCATCTTTCCTAGTCAGGACACGTAGGCTAGATGGAATTCTATCAGAATACTTTTTTACAAGTGACAAAAATCACCCTTTTAAATTAGTCGCACAAATACACACGTACAATTCTAAAACAAAACGAACACAATTCTAAAATGCAAAGACAGACATCTAAAAAGAATCTTTATATTTCTGACAGTGTGGAACAGTTTATTCCTTTTCTACATGAAACAAGTTATGTGATTTGTGAGATTACACTTAATCTCCAGGTTTACGGGGTATGCTCTGTTTGCTAAGCTTCCCTGCAAAGAATGAAAAGTTCAGCTGATTAATTCACTTACTTTTTCAAATCAAGGCAGTCCACTACAAATACACACGGTGATCATAATAATACAATGCTTCTTAGCCTAGGATTTCAATTAACAGTAAAAAGCAACAAAAAAAATGTATAAACAATATAGCTAATTTTCTGAAAATTTCAGAACTTTACATTTTAGATGGCCAAGTAAAACATTATAGTTTACATTTTGTGGTCAACTTTAGGGAGATGTTAATGGAATTCAATGCTGATTACTTGAAGTCAATTCACATCATACATTCAAGCATAATATGGAGTTAGATTAAGACATAAAAATTTTTTGCTTGAAAGTAATGACTGTGTAGCACATGGGACATTTGTCAACTGCTTCAGCACATTGTTTACAGGTGACCAGATGCCCACAAGGAATGAAAACGATGGCAATATTTCTATCCATACAGATTTTACAAAGCTTCTCCTCTTGCAGGAGTCTGAGCTGCTCTTCAGTACTAATATCTGTAGGAAGAGAAAAGAAAGGCGCTAGTTTTAGATGCTTGTTAGCTTGTAAAGTTTATGTAAACTTTCACCGAACCCCAACTACGTGCCAGGCCCAAAGCTAGTGCTGGGAGATAACAGTGTGACTCGTGTCTGCCTGTGAGCAGCTCACACTGTAGGAGAGAGGAACATCAGATCAAGCTGCAGAGCTAAGTACACTGTGATAGATAAGAGCTATAAGTTGCATGAAGAGTGCTCTGGGACAGGTCAGAGAACATGCTCTTCAGTTCTAGTTGGGTAAGGCCTCATGGGTTAACAATGGGGGGCAGCGCCATTTAAGCCCGATCAGCAGTGTGCTATGCATGGTAGTGTAGGGTTTGGCCAAGGAAGTAGCCCATGGAAAGGACATGGTCATATTAAAATGGAAATGTAGGGATGGACTGGAGAGACATGTCAGATGTGGGCCAAGTAAGATTTGGTGATTGACTGGATATTAAGAGATGAGGCAGAAAGAGATACTAAATTGATTTTACAATTTCTAGCCTGGCAAAGGGGATGGTGCTATCGATGGACATTGTGGTCGAGTTGATTCCAACCCCTAGTGCAGAGTAGAGGTGTCCAGTGGGTTTCTGAGGCTGTGAATCTTTACAGAAGCAGGCTACTTCATCTTCCTCCCAGGGAGTGACGGGCAGGTTCAAACCGCTGACCTTCCAGATAGCAGCCTGAAGGTTTAACCCCTGGTGCCACCAGGCATTCTTTAATGACACCAATAGAAAATAGAAAAGCTGCAGCAGGTTTGGGGTAGAATCTGATGTTGGATATTTTTGAGGTGCTTAAGGGCATCTAGATAAAAATGTGCAATTCAGTTCAAAGGACAAGCCGTGAAATCATGACAAGGCAGGGCTAGGGCTAGTGCTTGCTGTGCCACCAGCATATTAAGTGGTACTGAGGTTTAATGAAACCTTTTCTAAGCCACAGATTGTGAAACGTTCCCAAATATGCCACAAAAGTGGTCGGTGGGGTAGTAGTGCTAAATTGACAACAACAACAATAGCAACATAGCATCAGAAGAGCAGTGCTAAGCACTACTATTATGAACACATTACATACTTTAACTCCATTATACCTTTGCAACTATCGCACATCGGTGATTTCCCAATCTGTCCTTATATCAGCATCATTGGGGCAATTTTGAACAATCAATTCCTAGGCCCCATTCACTGAATCTAACATTTCTGGGGTTAGGCACAAAGGCATCTAGGACCACTGCTATATCAAGTACAGTATAATATATGTCTTCCCTTGGCAATTCACAATGCATTTCATTAATTAGTAACTAGAGTGCCTTTTTTCATGGTATTCCTTTTAACATCCCGGCGAGCATGAATCTGAACCCAAGAATGGGGAACAAGAGTTAATTTTACTCAACACATTGTTTTTTCTTATTTTTTTCCCAAACACATTGTTACTGAACACTTTACTAGGTCCTAGGCACTAGGAATATATAACCATGAGCAAAAATATGAGGGGGCTTCAAAAAGTACATGGAAAAATGGAATTGAAAGCCAATTAAACTTTCCCATAAAGTTTCTGAAGCCTCCGCATGAATAGACCCCAAGTCCTAGTAGTTAATATACAAGGAATGCAAGTAAACAGGAAATTATAATTCAGTGTGATGGCAAGGCAAGGACAATGTGTTACAAAGAACACACGAAGAGTGAAGGCACATACATGTATGTAATACACACACATTCATATAAAGGGAATAACTCAATTATACCTAGACTGGCTCCTAAAATAGGAATAAGGTAAATAGAGGAGCCCGGGTGGCCTAGTGGCTACTCATTGGACTGCAATCCACAAGACCAGCAGTTCGAAACCACCAGCACTCTGAGAGAAAAAGCCAAAGCTAAAAAACCAAAAAACCAAAGCTTTGTACTTCCATAGAGTTACAGCTTGGAAACCCACAGGGCAAATTCTACCCTGTTCTCTCAGGTTGTCATGAGTCAGACTGAACTTGATGGCAGTGGGTCTGTTTTGTTGTTGTTGTTAGGAGAGGGAGAGGAACATGGAGGCAGGGGCAGAGAGAGAATTATGTTCCAGGAGGAGGCAATAGCAGAAGCATGTTCCAATGGGAGAGGCACTTGGCCTGCAAGTGTACTGGAGAAGTCCGAGTATAAAGACTGAGGAGAAGACAGCAGGAGATGCAGCTACAGAAGGTTAGCAGCAGCCCAATCATGAAAGGTTTGGCAAGTCATATACAGGCGTTTGGCTTTGAACCTGAGGGCCCCGGGCAGAGAAAAGATCAGATTTGTGCTTCGCAGAGGAGGCACCAAATAGGGGTGGAGGAAAGAATGATTTAAGTCCTTTCTTCTTAGAAAGCAACCTTCTGGTCGTAATCAAAATTATAGGCTCAAACAAGTCACAGACACTAAAATGCATCAGAAATAAGAACATGAAAAAAAGAAAAGAAAAAAGAACATGAAGCACCTGTCCTCAAGAAATTTGGTCTACAGGACAGAACAGAAAATAATTTAAAAACCCTGATCTGGGCACTGGGGGAAACCTGAAAGTGACCTTGTTCTGGACCTTGAAGGATGAGTTCACAAAATAGATTTAGGGGACTAGGGGCCAGATAGAGAATGAGTCTAGGTATACAGACAGGGAAAAGACATTTGTGGGATAGAAGAAACAATTTACATGAAAGGATGAGATGGTTTTATGAACAGATTTCCATTATATAAAAGCATCAACACCCAAAAGAGTCAAAATGAAGTACGCACTCCACTCCCACCCCAATCAAACAATGGAAGTATGGAGTTAAAAAAGGACCCCTGGCCTAGAAGTTAGGTGATCTGACTTTCATTCCCAACTCCCTGAGTGGTCTTGGGCAACAGCTCGATTGTACTTCAGTTTTCTCACTGACTTGAGATGGTGATGCACTGAGCACACTAACAGTTGACCTCTGGCAATTATTTGACTCTATCCTTAAGGTCAGAGCCCTGATAATACAGTGGTTAGGTGCTCAGCTGCCAACTGAAAGGTCAATGGTTTGAAACCAACCGCTGCTGCATGGGAGAAAGAGGAATCAGTTTGCTCCCTATCAACACTGACAACCTGGGGTGGGGAGCACACAATGGGGAACTGCTAGCACTGATGATTGTATAATCCCACTCCATGGGATAGAACAAGCAGAATTTTATGTGAATGGATATATTGGATTGTGTAAGATATGGCAAAAAACAAATAAGGGTTTCTGGGGGACAGGGTGGGGGTGGGAGGGGATCAAGGGGAGCTGATATCAAGTTCAAGAAGAGAGAAAATGCTTTGAAACCTATGTGGTAGCACTTGTACAATACTGCTTGAGGTGATGAACTATGGAATGCTATGATATCAGTGTAAGAGCTCCTAATAAAAGGATTTAAAGAAAAGATTGACAACCTTGGAAACTGTGGGGTAGTTCTTCGCTGTCCTACAGGGCTGCTGGGAGTTGGGGTTTAGCCTTAAGAGTAACTACTGGGTTCTGTGTCTTTGCCTCTGGCACTTTTCCCCTTCTGTTTTTTACAAGGTTCTCTTCTAGCTCAGGAGGCTCTTGGCACAGGAACAAATCTTTTTTTTAAATCACTTTATTGGGGGCTCTCACAGCTCTTATAACATTCCATACATCAATTGTATCAAGCAGATTTGTACATATGTTGCCATCATCATTTCCTAAACATTTACTTTCTATTTGAGCCCTTGGTATCAGCTCCTCTTTTTTCCATCCTTCCCACTTAAATGATTTCTAGATGTCATTTCTTTTACTACCAGATAAGATCCTTGAGGAAAAATAGGCTACTAAGAAATGTATGTGCACTATTTGATTTTAAAATATTGCACACAATAAATACTACACACAAATGATCAAAACAAGTGCTTTTGCATATATACCAAAGAAAGGCTTCCTCTCACACTGTGCAATTTGAAAAAGGAAAAAGAATGATTTGCTACTAATTTTAGAAGGCAATGTACTGGAGCATTCTGTCACACAGTCACTGGGGTCAAAAAGCTAGGAGTGAACCTGGGATTTCTCAGTTAAGTAACAATAGAGTTCTTTTTCCAGGAGTCAGAATTGATCAGAGGGCAGTGGGCTTCCGTCCCGTAGGCCCACCCTCTATTTTGTACAGCATTACAAAGTTTCTTAGTGCCAGTCTTTCCCATCAGCCTTTGATAAGAGACACAGGCAGCAGCCCTAGCATTAGAAGTAGCTTGCATCAAACCGCTGCCTCTTAATGTAGTAAGAATAAGGAGAAGTCAGGGGCCCTAGTGGTCTGTCTAGTGGATTATGCATTGGACTGCTAACTACAAGGTAAGAAGTTTGAACCTACCAGGCACTAGATAGGAGAAAGATGAGGCTCTCTGCTCCAATAAAGATTTACCCCTTGAAAACCCCAAGAGGTTTTGGGTCCTGTCCTATGAGTCAGAATTGACTCGATAGCAGAGAGTTGAAGGAAAGGTTGGGAGCCCTAGTGGTGCAGTGACCAAGGTGCTTGGTTACTAGCCAAAAGGTTGGTGGTTTGAATCCTTAGCTGCTGTGCAGGAGAAAGATGTGGCAGCCTGCTTCCTTCAAGATTTATAGCCTTAGAAACCCCTTTAGGGCAGTTAAATTTTGTCCTATAGGGTCATTCATTATACGAGCCCTGGTAGCACAGTAGGTTGTATGTTGAACTTGATGGCAGTGAGCTTGGTTTCGAGTTATGAACGGGTTGCTGAGTGGGACTAGAGATGGTGGCAGTGGGTTTGGTTGGAGGTTTTCAGAAGTCAGCTAATGAATTCTAATCTTGGCCCTGAGAGCTGCAATCTGTTTACGCCCTCCTTTTCACATGACCCTGGCTTACAGTCTCAGGGAGGACAACAGTCCGGCCACTCCTGTTAGAAAGGGTCAAGGCTTCTCCTTGAATGTTCTATCCCTTGTTTTCTTTTTCTTTTTATTTATTATTTATTTCCCCCTTGTTTTCTTTCTACTGCAGTCTGCTAACTCCTTTTGTGGCAAACAGTACCTTCAGGTCTAGAAACTAACACCTTACTGTCAAACTTAACTAAACCAGAGTTAAGTTTTAAGTGGCAGGGACAAAGCCACAATATTTCTATTTTGATATAAGTTGGTACAATAAGCAAGGAAATGGTTTAAAATCAACATAAGAAGAGTTTTTCTAGGTTTTAAATGAATGTATCCTTCAGAGACACTTTCTGCTGAATCTTTTACAACAATTGATATTTTTTTTTCCTTTTTTTTAAAAGGAAAACATCAAGCTACTGTATATACTTGAGTATAAGTCGAGTTTTTCAGCACATTTTTAATGGTAAAATTAGGTGCCTCGGCGGATAGTCTGCAAAGAGCAGATACCTATACTTTATCCTTTGGGAGAAAGATGAGACTTTCTACTTCCATAGAGGGTTACAGCCTTTGAAAACCCACAGGGGCAATTCTATCCTGTCTTACAGGTTCACTATAAGTCAGAATCGACCTTATAGTATCGAGAGAGTTTATACCTATCTTGGATTATAAGCTATAATATGGAAGTTCTTAATTGCCAGGAAGTCACTGAGTAATTTTTTTGTTTTCTGAAAAGGAGGTGGCAGGCCAAATAAGTATGGAAATCTTTTATTTCCCATAGAAGGGTGTCGTTTAGTCAAGTCATACTTAGTACAACGATCCTTATGTTCATATCAACATATCAAAAGTTGCAGAGTATTCCAAAGCCAAACTATACAACTTTGAGTCAATACACTGCTACACGTTTGTCTAAAAAACAGAACATAAATTCACTTTTTGAAAAATGAAAGGACATGTGGCTTTTACTTGGAACAATATTAGAACAAATTAAAAGATTATAACGGCTCTCATGCTTTTATTTTTTGTGTATGTGTGAAATCTTTCATAACAAAAAGTTCTTGAAAAAATTCACTGCTGAATAATAATAAATAAAAAATAAAATAAAATACATTAAAAAAAAATCACTGCTGTTAAGTCGATTCCAACTCATAGCAACCCTGTAGGACAGAGCAGAACCGCCCCTCTGGGTTGCTAGACTATACATCTTTAAGGGAGCAGAATGCCTCCTCTTTCTCCTGCAGAGCTCCTGATAGAGCTGAACTGCGCTCCAACACGTAACCCACTGTGCCATCAGGGCTCCTTTACACATTCTTAAATGCAATTCCTCTATCCTGCTCTCATCTACTCACATATGGGGTCTGAAAGCATTCTTGTTCCCAGAAATCCATTGCTATCAAGTGGATTCTGATTCAGAGCACCCCTATAAAGTCAGAGAAATGGCCCCGTGGGTTTCCAAGGCTGTAAATCTTTATGGGAGCAGAAAGCCACCTCTTTCTCCAGCAGAACAGCTAGCCATGGGTTTCAAAGTGCTGACCTAGCACTTAGCAGCCCAGCTCATAACCCACTACAATACCAGAGCTCCTTAAGGGTGTGGGGGGTGTTAGAAGAGAGGAGCCAAATGGGCCAAAGAGCCATGAAAGCTAACCTCCCTAATGAGTTACTGTGACATTTTTCTTGTCTTTGACAGACACCCTGGCATACCTTTCTGCAAGGAGGTCTGACTTGACTGCTCTTGCACACTGTCCTGAGCACTCACTAGGTCTGCAACCAGAACTTCAAGAGATTTGTAGTTGTTCCCAGATGTCTGGATTTTCTCTTCCATTGTTTTCTTAATGTCCTGGAAACTGAATCCCATTCGTATAGCTTCTTGTACCATAGGATTTTGAAAGATGGAGTCATCTGAAATGAAAATTGTTTAGGAAACAAACAAAAGTTAGATGACTTTGGTCAGTATGACTAATAGCAACATGTAGCTAAATAGAAAAAGTTTGGTGGCAAGGAAAAACAAAATAATAACAACAAACCCAAACAAATTAGCACTCCACAAGTGCTTTGGGAGGAAGTATTTCAAATATATAGGTACTGAAGGATCATTTTTGAAAAATCTTACAACTGTAAATGTAGTTGGTCTACATTTTGCATCAGCAGCCCTGGTGGCACAGCAGTTATGTGCGTGGCTGACAATGGAAACCTTGGCAGTTTGAGCCCCTGGGCCCCTTGATAAGGGAAAGTTGTGGAAGGCTGCTTCCCTAACATTTACAGCCTTAGAAACCCTATGGGACAGGTCTATAGGGTAGTTATGGAGTCACAACAATGTATTTTGTAGTACTTGGAATTATTTGAAATACAGTGCTGTACGGGTTGTGACGAAACAGTGCACGCTTGGTTACGAAAAGCGCTGTTGAATCCCAAACTCCCGAATGTTTCCTAGCCAGCTGTAAAACCTAGAGTGAATGCGGTTATGGAGTCATTACCAATTTTTAAAAAATTCATGGAAAAGAAAAGGAAGCCTCAGCCTGTGATCTGGAATGTATGTTTCCTATCTCTGGCTCTAATTTCTGCAGCTCAGGGGGTGGGCTGGGGTGGAGACCAGATTAGGTAAGAAAGTCAGTGGAAGCTAACTTTTATGAAACCCAAAGCAGCCATACAGCTGTGAGGAAGTGCTGAGAGCACCCCAGCCGGCACCCTGGGGTTCACCAGTTCCAACCTTAGGTATGAAAAATGAGTCTTTGCCCACCAAAGACATCCACAAGAATACTTCTAACTGTTATTCATAAAGACTCAAACTGGAAGCAATTTGAATGTCCACTCTCAGGTAAGCAGATGAATAAACAAACTGTGGTGTTTTTAAACTCAAAACAGCAATAAAAATGAACTACTACCACGGACAACATGGGTGAATCTACTGTCAGTGAATTCTGGTTGGACTTCTTCCAAGACAGATTTGTTTGTTCTTCTGGAGGTCCACGGTATATTCAACATTCATTGTCAACACTGTAATTCAAATGCATCAAATCTTCAGCCTTCCGATTCTCTGTCCAACTTTCACATGCATATAAGGCGACTGAAAATGCCATGGCTTAGGTCAGGTGTACCCTCGTCCTTAAAGTGACACTGTTGCTTTATAAATTATGTACTAGATGAAATGCTTTCTTTTTCTTTAAAAAAAATCATTTTATTGGGGGCTCTTACAGCTCTTATCACAATCCACATACACACTCATTGTGTTAAGCACATTTGTACATAGGTTGCCATCATCCTTTTCACAGCATTTTCGTTCTACTTGAGTCCTTGGTATCAGCTCATTTCCCTGCCCCCCTCACCTTCCAGAAATGCTTTCTAAAATCCGTCCTCTTTAATCCTATCAAACATGTTAGAGAGAGCGAATCAGATATTCTCCAGCATTTTTATGAGTAGGCTGAATACTCTCTTGCTTTATAATCTGTTAAGATACTACTACATGACAGTTCTACCGTCCTACAAGGTATCTGTGAGTTAGAATTGACTTAAAAAAATACTAAATAAATGATATTCTAAGTATAGGAATCTGTACACAGATCATGAGGCAGCTGTGCAAGCAGACCAAAGGAATGTTGCATGACTAACGTTTTTTAATCGTTTTATTAGGGGCTCATACAACTCTTATCACAATCCATACATACATCAATTGTGTAAAGCACATTTGTACATTCATTGCTCTCATCATTCTCAAAACATTTGCTCTCCACGTAAGCCCCTGACATCAGCTCCTCATTTTTATCCTCCCTTCCCGTTCCCCTCTCCCTCATGAACCCTTGATAATTTATAAATTATTATTTTGTCATATCTTGCCCTGTCCGATGTCTCCCTTCACCCACTTCTCTGTTGTCCGTCCCCCAGGGAGGAGGTCACATGTAGATCTTTATAATCGGTTTCCCCTTTCCAACCAACCCTCCCTCTACCCTCCCACTCACACCACTGGTCCTCAAAGGATCATCCGCCCTGGATTCCCTGTGTTTCCAGTTCCTATCTGTACCAGTGTACATCCTCTGGTCTAGCCAGATTTGTAAGGTAGAATTGGGATCATGATAGTGGGGAGGAGCAAACATTTAGGAACTAGAGGAAAGCTGTATGTTTCATCGTTGCTACATCAGACCCTGACTGGCTCATCTCCTCCCCGAGACCCTTCTGTAAGGGGATGTCCAGTGGCCTACAAATGGGCTTTGGGTCTCCACTCTGCACTCCCCTCATCATTCACTATAAGATTTTTTTGTTCTGATGATGCCTGATACCTGATCCTTTTGACACTTCATGATCGCACAGGCTGGTGTGCTTCTTCCATGAGGGCTTTGTTGCGAAAAGATGAAACCTTTCAAGGATTTCATCTTGCTTAGATCCTCAATCAATAATCATGGAGTCAACAATCAAGAGTTCAAATGACAAAGATAAATGGATACATCTGCTGCCTAAGACCTCTTTAAAATGTTGAAAAGGAGGTTATTTTCTTGTCTTTAGACAAGCAGCCATCTAAGTGAGGCATCGACCAAGTTCACATGGAAGCATACCAGCCTGTGTGATCCCAAAATGATGTAATAAAACCCAATCCTAAGGAGGGAATGGTATCAGAGCTCCAATTGTGAACACTCAATTTGCAGGAGGCAATGGATGACAGTGAGAGGCCAAAATCCATTTACAGAGTCCCTACATGGATAAAGCCTCTGATGAATGCCCTCTGACCATAGTTGAGGGAAGTGAATAGCCCTGCTATCAGACAGAGAAGATGGTAAACACAATCATAGCAGATGTAATTAGGTTAAAATGTGATACCTGATCATTTGATCTTCCTTTTGACCCAGTTTACACATGTTCTAGTTTTTAATATTCTGCTTTTTTCTTGGTTGGATTTTTGCTTTTCTGGTTTATTTTGTTATTATTGTTGGGGTTTTTTTGGTGGTGGTGGTGGGGGGGGATGTTTTCCAGTACATGAAGATCAGGGTGGGTGAAGCTATAGAAACAGTAAATGGATTAGGGGTTTCTTAGGAGCACAGACTAGGGGTGGCGGGTATTGGAGAGACATGAGGAGCTAATATCAAATACAAGAGAGCAGAAAAAATGTTCTGAAATTGATTGTACGGATGACTGCACAACTTATTAACATGACTGAACTATGGAAGTACATGATATGTGAACCATATTGTCAATAAAACATTAATTAAAAAAACCTAAATTAATAAAACACCAGTAAGATTATCTACCTTATGAGATAACAAAGACATCTCTAAGGCATAGCAGAAGCAGAAAGAAAACAGAGATTTAGGGATGGATTTGGGGTTTACACTTAATCCTATCTCTTCTCTAAGAACAATTAATTCTTTTTTCAAAATCATTTTTGGGGGGTCTCGTACAACGCTTATCACAATCCATCCATCCATCCATTGTGTCAAGCACCTTTGAACATTTGTTGCCATCATCATTCTCAAAGCATTTGCTTTCCACTTGAGCCCTTGGTATCAGCTCATTTTCCCCCTCCCTCCCCGCTCCCCCCTCCCTCATGAACCCTTGATATTCTATAAATTATTATTTTGACATGTCTTACACTGTCAGACGGCTTCCCTCACCCACCTTTCTGCTGTCCGTCTCCCAGCGAGGTCACATGTAGATCCCTGTAATCGGTTCCCCCTTTCTACCCCACCTTCGCTCCACCCTCCGGGCATTGCCACTCTCATCACTAGTCCTGAGGGGTTTATCTGTCCTGGATTCCCTGTGTTTCCAGTTCCTAGAAAAATTAATTCTTATGATATAGCCCTGCTCGATATGCACCCTCATCAAGGAAACAGGGAAGATATGGGTGCTATATCAAAGTGTGGTGAAGAAATTAAATGGTGACTAATCAGAAAGAAAAGCAACTGGGGGTCTTAAAGGCTTGTTTTCGGAGGGAGGGGAAAAATGAGGACCTAATGCCAGGGGCTTAAGTGGAGAGGAAATGTTTTGAGAATGATGAGGGCAATGAATGGACAAATGTGCTTTACACAGTTGATGAATGTATGGATTATGCTAAGAGTTGTATGAGTCCCTAATAAAACGATTAAAAAAAAGGCTTGTTTTCAAAGAAATGCCATCTACATGAGACGTCAACTAAGCATATCTATATCCATGATCCAAAGATTATGAATTACGTAATCCAAATCCGAAGGAGGGAACGGTATCAGAGTTTAAATTGTGAAATTCTGGTTTGCAGAAGGCTATGGAAGATAGTGGAAGCCCGAAAGACATTTGCAGGCTCTACACATGGACTAAGTCTCTCGTGATTTCCCTCTAGCCATAACTGAAGGATGAGAATGGCTTGGTTATCAGAAAGAAAGTAATGGAGAGACAATTACAGTAGACGAAAAAATGATAAATCTGACTTGAATGGTTAAAACCGTGTCATTTGATCTCCCTTTGGATACACTTTGTGCTTGATCTGGTTTTTATTATTTTCTGTTTGTACTTAAAAAACTAATACTCTGGGGTTCATCTCTGCTGTATTTTGTTATTGTTTGTTGTTAGCATTCTCGACTCATGGTAATATATCTTTCTATATTTTTTGGTATATAAAACCCAGGTTGGGTGACTCTACAGAGATAATAACTAGAATAAGGGTTATTGGGGAGGGGTATGGCACGGTAAGGAGGGGTAATGGGGAGCCGATATCAATGAGTACAGGGAGGGCATGTTTTGAAACTGGGTGTCGTAACGGTTATACCACACTGCTTGCTATGACTGAACCATGTAATGGTATGATGCCTGGATTATATCTTAATAAAATGATTTTGGGAGAATCCATAATAAAACCAAAAAAGGAGGTTGCTTTGAGGATGGAGGTACGCCTGACCAAAGCCATGGTATTTTCAATTGCCTCATAGGCATGTGAAAGTTGGACATTGAATGAGGAAGACGAAAGAATCGATGCATTTCAACATTGGTGTTTCAAAGAATACTGAAAATACTGCAGACTGTCAAAAGAACAAAGAAATCTATCTTGGAAGAAGTTCACCCAGAATGCTTAGAGGCAAGGAGGGCAAGACTTTGTCTAAAGTACTGTGGACACGTCAGGAGAGACCAGGCCCCAGAAAAGGACATCAAACTTGGTAAAACAGTGGGTCAGTGAAAAAGAGGAAGACCCTCAACAAGATGGATGGACACAGTGGCTGCAGCATCGGGCTCAAGCATAAGAACCATTATGGGGATGGCGCAGGACCAGGGGGTGTTTCTCTCCGGTGTGCATCGGGCTGTAGGGTCGCTATGACCTGAAACTGACTCAAAGGCACCGGAGAACACACCAACCTAAGGAGAGGGAGTACGGAATCGCCAGATCTATTCTAAATGGAAACTTACAACTCTTCTTGAAACATGATCCCTAATTTGAGACTGAGATCCCATATATGATGTCGGAGTCGGTTACTGTTCTGGTTCCATTAAAGATTTTAGGGTGGTTTCACTAGCTCAATACCTGAGTTGCTGAACCCGTCGGCAAGCTTCTCAATAAAGCCTGCTTCTAAAACTTAAAAAAAAAAGATTTTAGTGTCACATCTCCAATGTGACTGTTTTTCTTTTGAAGAGTAAAGCTACTAACAGTATCTTCTTTGCTTACAGAGTATCTTTTTCTGGCCTTCATTCAAAAAGCTGTTTATAATGAGTGTATATTCAATCTTTGTGATTAAAAACCTCTCCCTCTCCCTCTCCCATGAGGTCATGGGAGATAAACAAAGCAAAGATGATCTGAGATATAGAAGTAGGTTGGTTAGGGCTGATCATAATCCAGGCTTACTAAGGAGCGCTAGGGAAAAACATACACTTAATCCTTGGTTCTATGATTTTAAAAGAAATGATGATGGGGTAGTCTGACAGTTTCTCCTGAACCTGGGAAAATGAACTGTCTAACGGCTCATAATACACAAACCTCTGATTTCAATTTACGTTTATCCCACAGAGCCATACTGTGGTGACTTTGAAAGACCACATCTTTCACTCCATAAACAACTATTATAAACAGGCAGTGAAAAAAACTATTTACTTTAATAAGGGTATTTACCAATTCTTTTAGTTAGTGATGGTTCTTTTTCAGTAGTTCTTGCCTAAAATAAAAGTATGAATTATACGTTAGAATTCTTTTTTCATAGAAGGTAATTAATTCAGTTTGAAAATGACACTAATTGGAAATTTTAAATCACCTTTATTCCAATTCAACTTATCAATGTTCACAAGAGGCATGGCCTGATGGAGCTAGGGGGACATTGAAAGAGCATCTAATCCAATCCCCCTCACTTTGTAGACATAAAGTTGAGACCCTGATCAGCTGATAGATACCGTTATGGCACAGCCACAGGGACGGCTCTGGTCTCCCTTTTCCAGTCCGAGCTCTTTCTGCAGAGTACAGATGCCTTGGCCACTCTAGTTTAAACTATCGATTTAGATGCACTTTTGAGATTGTAAATACGGTCTGCAAAAGGCTTAAAACCATTTATGAGTACAAAACAATGTGTGCAAAATTTTGGCCACTCTATAGTTTAAACTATCAATTTAGATACACCTTTGAGATTATAAATACTGTCTGCAAAAGGCTTAAAACCATTTATGAGTACAACACGCTGTGTGCGAAAGTCTAATTGCAGAAGGCTAAGAGACCAAGCCGGGAGTTCAGGTGGTGCGGTGGTTCAGCACTTGGCTGTTAATCTTAGTCTGCAATTGGCACTGACCAGCAGCTCTTTTCCAGACAGGACCTGGTGAACTCCTGAAAAGGTTAGTCGAGGAAACCCTATAGGGCGTTCTACCCGGTCTTCTAGGATTGCCATGAGTCACAATTGACTTGTCTGCATGCAACAAAACAGGGCCTAGTATTTAAGTTCTTCCAGTCCATATTTATTTTTCACTTTCAAATTGATTAGTTGCACACTAAGATTTGACTAAGATGTAAATGTCACATTTCTTATGATAATCTCTTTAAGTTCTTATTAGTTGCAAAAGACTACGGTTCTTATAATATAAAGAGCTATTTAAAATACAATATGAACCATATTAACAATTTTTACAATAATAATTTTTAGCATTTACAGACAGGCTTTGTCTCTCATCCAGCATGTACAAATGGTCAAGGCCCTGTTTTTGCCTACAGTGATACTGAAATCAGTTTATCCTGATGCTCTCTGCATAAATATGCTGCAAGGTAAGAACAGCAAGCCCCCAAGTTTTCTGCTTTTTAGCTCCCTGCACGTTACCTTAAAATATTAGACGGTGCACTTTACATAACAAAATACATCCAATTTGAAAACACATATATTACAGTATGTGACTTACCCGAGACTCTTCATGTGAATGATTTAAATGAATATTGTTTATATATTCATGCCCCTTCTCTTCTAACAGATATTTACACCTAAACAATTAAAAAGGAGGTTAAACTTTAGTAGCGGATAAAATGTAAGCATGGATAATCTCCGTTATCTTAATTCTGTTAATTTGTTTTTGGTATTTCTAAGGAACCACAAAATAAAAATGTTACCTAATTTCGGTCCAACTATCAATTTAAGGTTAAAAAGACATATTCCCTTTGTTACTCTATTTAGGCTAACGCAAGTTATTTTAAATTAGTGCCTTGACATTATAGACAAGTTTTAAATAGTTAATCTTAACAGATTTTACTTAGAGGATTAACCAAGTGTACATTTAAAAGGAATTCTTTTCAACTTTTCCTCTTAAGGCTGTTAAGATCTCTTTTCCTTTTTATTTGCATCTTCATTTTGCATTTTTTTAAAGATCATTTTACTGGGGTACCCTGTAGTTTTAAGCTGTACTGTACTTTGCAGAAACAAGATAGCAATGAGACACTTAGGGTAGGCCCATATTCTTAGCTGTAACTGATTTAAAGATGCATGCTTATCTCGTTTATCACCTCAAACTGTTGCTAATTAAATTATGACGCACGATCAAATGCAAGATGTGTCCTGATTTCCGAGATTTTAAAATTCTAACCACTGTGTGCCTTTCAATCAATAAGATACAATGTTTCCTATGATGTGAACAGGTCAAAGAACCTCTTTGATAAACGGGTTCTTCCATGCCCATTCTGAAGGAACCTGTGCCCAACAAAAGCAGCACACATTTCTTTCTTTGGTGTTTAGAAATGGAGTCAGCTCAATTGCCGAACAATAAATGTTTTGGTCACCATAGCAGGCTTGGGTGGTTTTTCAAATACATATAAAGTAAGTAAAAAAAAATAAAGTGACCCCATTTTTACAAACCGGTGTGAATTTCAAGCTAAAGTGAAGGCAAAAATAATTGAGGTGAAAAGTAATTCACATTTTCCCACTGCAGATCGTCCAATTTGCCTGTTCTTGAATAGACATGTAAAGACCTTACCCTGGATACCACTTAGCGTGCTGTTCCCAAGGATCTTCACTGGGCTTCCAATCGGTGAGCCCTCCCCCACAATGAAAGCACTTCACTTTATCACCCTCGCCTAAGAAAACAAGGACAAATACATGCAATTGTGCAATGCCTTTGAACACTTAAAAACAAACTCTATCTAAAGAATGTGATAATCTCATGGTGCAAGATATGGCACTCAAATTCCCTTAAAAAATAATAACTACAAAAATAATAATAGCTTTATTATTTGAGGAGGAAAGCTCAGTAAAGGCACTAGCTCATTTTCAGGTAGTTAAAAGACAACAAAAACAAATCAAATAGGTCATTTTATGTTACAAATGATTATTGATACATGTTTTTCCCATTGGTCATTTGGGCTGTCACTGCTAGAAAACTTTAAAATAAGGATGTTCCAAATACGCATAACTGTAAAATTCAGCACAATGAAGTGACAAGTTCTTCTAAGGTTATAGCTATATGGCATTAAACAAAGCTTCACAGTGGCTATGTGATGCTGTACCAATAAAATAGTAAAATAACTGCTATTTTGTGCTTTGGCACTGTTTGACTTCAAAATAAATTAGTCAGATATATCATGGTATACATTTTTTAATACCCCTGGAAGCTACCAGACTCATCATGACATGTTTACAGTAGTCAATTTGAAAAGCAATCATTTGAAGCAACCAGACTGATTTCAAACACATAGTCCTATGTACTAAAAGTACACTTTCAATACCAGTCAACTAAACTCTTCTAAGGAAAACATGTGTAATAAAGACAGGGGGAGTTTGTGGGGGGGCAGGGGCGGATGATCTTTTCAGTTTTTCCCACAAACTTTCCGAAGCCCTCATATATGTACTGAGCATAAATAGTAGGCGCTCGATAAATGACAGCTAGTATTGCTATTAGGCCCATTCTCTTCTTGGGCATGTTTACTATCTTTGGTCCCTACCATCATCCCTCTCCTCAAGACAATTTCATAAAGAACAAAGGGACTCACAATATGGTACCCTTTTCATATATATTCAGTGGTTACATAAAAGATCAACATAAGGATTCAGAGACTAAAACAGATATAAATTATCATGCCACACCACACTTAAATATTTACCAGCTCAGGGGACTAAAGGTATTTATTTAGCTTTTCTGGGTCCCCGGGATAGCTTGAAAGTTATTTATTAGCTTGGTTTTATAACGAAGTTTACCTAAAGCATAAAATCCAGCTCTTGCAAGCTGCTCCTTGTTAACTGAGTATATCCATGTCCCAAAAGTCAGGATCCGTACTTCATAATCCACCATGGCTGGATTTCTTGGAGGATTTGTTGAATTGGGGAAATTCCTATCAGAACTCAAGACACCAGATTCACTTTGTGCATTAACACTCCGGCCCAGCACAAAAAAGCAATGTGGAAAATGTCGCTTGTGTTCTGACCAGGCCCGATCACAAGGTTCCCAATTTTTCAGTTTCCCGCCACAACAAAAGCACTGCACTTGATCATCGATCCCTGTGTAGTAGAGCCCAGCACTGGCTAGCTCTCTTGGGGTTAGGTGGGCATACTCTGGCCAATTCTGAAATGAATTTAACCTAGCTTCTTCGCTACACATCTCAGGGTTCCTCGGGTATATGGTGTCAGACATATCTACAACTTGTCCAGTTCTCAAGAGATAGTCTGCATGGGTCTCAGAAGGCCTGTCTAAAACCAAGTGATTTTTGTTTCGTGCATAGTGTTCACTGTTGTACAGTCCATTTTGGACACCAGAATTTGTAGGTTGCGCAGCCTTATTTTCAAAATGAAAGCCACTGATAAATCTGCAATTTGGGGATGCTTTCCTGTGTCTTCCAATGGCGGAGTCACCATATTGCCATCTATCTACTGCTGCATGACAACTAAAGCACCGCACGGTGTCTCTTTCACCAGTATAGAGAAAGCCAGCTCGTGCCAGCGTTGAGGCGGAAACAGGACTACTGCTTGGAAAATTGGCAAAGGTTTTTAATCTATTGAACTCTTCTACAAATTCTTCATCTTTATTGATGTCTGCAGGTACAAGAGTTTTAGAGCCGTCAACACTGTTAAAAGTCATCTTCTCTTGAAATTAGGACCCGTTCACCTTTTCAAAAAAGAGAACATTATATTAGGAATCACAAAATGTGAAGCACAAACAATACGCTCAGTATCAGGAGCTGGCAGTGTTTTTACTGATGACACAAAAATAATTATACAATCTCTAATTAGTGTTCCAATTTTAAATTAAAGCTTAAAGTTCTACATTAGTACGTGATTCAAGTTATAAAGTCAAAACTAGCATTTCCTCCTTCTTTCCAAGGAAAGCAATGCTCAGGAGTAGTAAAGGGCTATTAATTTTCAAGGGCCTATTTTACATAAATATGGAAGCTATGTGATACAGAATATATTATAATGATTAACTATGTAAAACCATTAGGAAAAACATGAAAGTATCAAATATCCACATTCTTAAGAGTCTATGCATAATTTTTATAATGGATCATTGTATATTCAAAGCATCAAAGTTCAGTTTTTATAACTAAAAACCTCTGACTGTTTCAAATGTTAATGAATAAATTTTTAACATTTCTTTACTTTTTTGCTTAGCAAAAGTTTTATTCACAATGTTGGTTCAATGTGTTCTATAACACCATTAAATGTCTTTAATTTTCCAAAAAATGTCTTTAATTTTCATGTATAAATAAGGGCCAATTTGGGGGGTTATAGTTGGAAATTGGATCATTTAAGATCTACGAGAGTGCTTCAAAATGTATGTGGAAAAATTCCATTATTTTTCACACCATGTTTTCCATGAACTTTTTGAAGGACCCCCTTCCCCACATACATACTACTACTTCCCCCATATACTACTACTGCCCTCTAGAGGGTGGCTCAAGAAAAATCTCAAGTATGTGTAGATCTTAATCGTAGTTGCTTTTTCTATCAATTTCCTATCGTCAAAAAAGAGTTTGTCTGCCTAGACCAGAGTATGTACATTGGTACAGATAGGAACTGGAAACACAGGGAATCCAGGACAGATGACCCCTTCAGGAGCAGTGGTGAGAGTGGCGATACCTGGAGGGTGGTGGGAAGGTGGGGCAGAAAGGGGGAACCGAATACAAGGATCTACATATAACCTCCTCCCTGGGGGATGGACAACAGAAAAGTGGGTGAAGGGAGATGTTGGACAGAGTAAGATATGACAAAATAATAATAATTTATAAATTATCAAGGGTTCACGAGGGAGGGGGAGTAGGGAGGGAGGGGGGGAAATAAGGAGCTGATATCAAGGGCTCAAGTAGAAAGCAAATGTTTTGAGAATGATGATGGCAACAAATTTACAAATATGCTTAACGCAATGGATGTATATATGGATTGTGATAAGAACTGTATGAGCCCCCAATAAAAGAATTTTAAAAAACCAGTTTGTCACCCAAACTTAGGAGTAAAACTGTTACAGTTTCATTAAAGATGGCAAATTGTAACATTGTCATATCTAACCTTACCCTCCAAAGCTGGACACTTTGCAAAGTGAAACATATTATCAACAATTACACTGGGGAAAACGGGCCTACATTAGGGCTTCTCTAAGAAAATCAGAGCACATGGTCACCCTAGCTATAAAGCACACTTTGTTTCTCAAGACTTTTACCTAGTGGATGAAGCTATAGGGTCAGCAAGCCGAGTAAGGGCTGGGGCTGGGGGAATGGGGGCGGGAAGGGCACAGTAGTGGCAGTAGTGGTGGGGTATAAAAGGGAGCCAATTTCAAGGAGGCCAAGAAGGAAAAGAATGTTTTGAGACAGATTGTGGTAGCAACTGTACAATACTGCTTGATGTGACTGAAGTATGGAATGATTGATATATGCATTAACTTCCAATTAAAAAAAAATCATCCAGTACTAATACAAGCTCATCAAATGCACAATATTAAGACTCTGTCTCTACTTCACCTGTACATTAATTGATTTAAAGGCAAAAACTAGGCAGCTCTTTTGGCATTATGTTGTAATAATATATCTTAAAATATCATCTCTCTTCGACTAATGCTCAGTACTAGGCTCCTCTCTTGCAGGCTCACATTAAATTTCAGTTTGCAGGTCATATCAATTCTAGTGGTATTAATTCACGTACATAGATTAAAGACTGCAGCCTTCAGTATGGACTACACCTCAACATAAAGAAAACCAATGCAGTGATAATTGTACAACTTTTCTTCATATGACTGAATTACTGAATTGTATGACCAGTGGATGAAGTGCTAATAAAACTGTTAAAAAAAAACGAAAACCAATAACCTCATAACTGAACCATGAGCAATAAATGGAGAAAAGAATGAAGTGGTCAGGATTTCATTCAGTGTGAATCCAAAATCAATGTCTATGGAAGAAGTAGTCAAGAAATCAAAGGACATATATTCCACTGGGCAAGTCTCTGAAGCAAAGATATCACGTAAGGTTCACCTAACTCAAGCCTTGGTATTTCATTTCCCTTCCTTCTGTTTCATCTCACTGATTGCAACCTCCACAATGAAGCATCACTTATCCCACTTCTTCCTTAGTTTTCCATTCTTCCTTTCCTAACCTTTTTCAACTTTGTCCTTAGAGAAACACTGTCCTTTTGATCTCAAATAGCCAACCTCTAAGGCCACATTATTTTCAATCATCTCATAAGCATGCAAAAGCTGTACAGTATATTGAATTAGGAAGAGGAAGAAGAACTGATGTCTCTCAATCATAGTGTTGAAGGATGTTAAATATATCATAGACTGCCAGAAGAACCAACATCTGTCTTGGAAGAAGTATAGCCAGAATGCTCCTTAGAAGCAAGGGTGGAGAGACTTTTCCGTATGCACTTTGAACATGTTAACAATGGGAATCAGTCCTTGGAGAAGGACATCAGGTTTGGTAAAGTACAGGGTTAGTGGGGAAAAGAGTGAGTTGGATTGAAACAGTGGCTGCAACAATGGGCTTAAACACAGCAATGACTGAAGATGGCACGGGACGCACAGTATTTTGTTAATTTAAGGGTTGCTGTGAGTTGGAACAGATTTGAAAGCACCTAATAACCAACAATTCATGCATACCTCAAGAAATGAGCTGCATGTAGCAATTTTTGAAAGACTGTTTACCTAGCATTTAATTTAGTTATACTCATATTTTTTAAGATGTTTAAAGCCATTGTGACACTAGCTTTTTAAGACCCTTTGTGGAATCCAAATGACAAAATAAAGATTAAAAAAAAACAAGCCTTGACAATAAGTTAAAACTTGTAAGATAAAATTTGAGGCAAATGCAAAATCGTACAGTCTTGTTAAAAATACAACAACTGCACAATAAAAGGAAGATGGAGACTTAGTTGAGAAAGGAGTCAAGTGAAGGCAAAACTCCAGATTAAAACCTTAGGGTTTTACTTAATTACAAATTCATTATGAACCAACACTGCATGGCTGTTAGAAAACTTACAGTAATTTCAGGCTACATTAATGTCCAGATGTGCAATATCCAGATCAAATTCACCTACATATTAAAAAATTATTTTCCATTCCAAACTCATTTTAGAAGGGACATTAACAAAGTATAATGTCTTTAAAGAGCACCCGAGTGATGAAAATTATGTCACATTAAAATTATACCATATAAAGAATAGCTGGAAGAGCTGAAGATACTTATCCCAAAATGGAAAAAATATTTGGGATGATAGCGAGGATAAAACATCTTCTTTAGCTATTTAAAAGGCTATCCCATAGAAAAAAGTAATTATTAGATTTCTGTTTAGTTAGCAGATAGACTCGAAGTCAAGTGCATATCATTCTAATCAGATTTTAGTCCAATAAAAAGATGAACTTTAAAATAATCAATAATGGTACAAAATATACTGGGGTTGGGTGGTTTAACACGTCACGCATACACGTTATCCCACTCCTGGAAGGGACTTTGGCACAGACAAGGTGAAACTAGAGTATACAAATCATTTCCAAGCCTAACCTAAGCTTGAAGAAATACTGGTAAATATAAATCAAAACATGAAAATGACCTTCCCCAAGGGGGTAATTATTTTTCAGGTCAATCAAAATAGATACAAGTATAAGATCAAAGATCTATTTCTATCATTTCACAATAGTGGCTACTTTATGTCGTTCAAGTAGTCACCTCATTTCAGATATTAAATAAAAAATCCATCATTCAACCCCAGCAGGAGTCTCTATTTGAAGCTTTTAACTGGAAGACTAATTCTCTCGGGGTTTATTTCATACTAATAGTTTTTACATCAAGGTTTGAGAAGCAGGCATTTATTCAGAAGCACTCAAGTCAACACTACATATACTGTATATACTCGTGTATAAGCCGAGTTTGTAAGCACATTTTTAATGCAGTTTTTGTGGTAAAATTAGGTGCCTCAGCTGATATTCAGGTAGGCTTATACTTGAGTATATATGGTACATTGCTGGGCATTAGTTTGATCATGAGATGAGTGAGAAAACTGAATTTCCAGAGGGATAAAGAGTGAAAGGGAGAAATTACTGACAAAAGACAGACACCTTGGAGTGAGAAGTCACTGCCAAAGGAAAGGACTGTGAGGTTTAAAAAGAAGAAATCAAGACCTAAGGGAAATGAAGATGTAAAGAAGATACGGAGAGAAGTATGTCGGGAGGCTAGGAACTGTGAATTCAGATGAAAGCTGTAAAGATGATACTGCAGAGAAGTATATAGAGAGCCTAGGAACTGTGAATTCAGAAGAACATGGGGTATGAAGATTGTGGAAAAGGGATTAAATAGTCTTTGGATAAGAAAAGCTCTGAAGTATGTCAAGATAACTGTAGGCTTCTATGTGAAAATATATTCAGTCTTTGATAAGCAAAAGGTGGGGAGAAAGATGAGATTTTGATATAATGGGACCGAGTGGTTTGGAATCTTGAAGTGAGCTGCAAGGCCAGCAGTTCGAAACTACCAGCTGCTCCTTGGGAGAAAAAGGAGGCTTTTCTACTCCCATAAAAAGTTCGTCACACACACACACACAAAAAAAGTTCATCTCAGAAACCCACAAGGCCAGTTCTATCCTGGTTGCTAGGAGTTGGAATCTACTTGACAGCAGTGAGTTTGATTG